TTCATGTGCTGCACCAGACCGACTACCTCAATTAGTGGCACTCACTGGGAGACATTAATAAGTGTCCAACAAACCTGAGATGGAATATATTAGAGTTCCATTTTTGTCGACAGTGACATTTCTCATCAACTACCCCTCAGGTCTGTAATTTCACCGTGCGAATACTCTCTGCTCATGATCTGTCAGCTTGTGGTGGTGGCATAGAGAGGGCTCAGGCACTCATGCCTTAATCTGCTCATGTGCTATTACAATATAGGTGGAAAATACAATGCAAATACAGGCAAGAAGCAAGGTTAGCTGATGCTACTTCACACAGCAAGCTCATTTGAATACATTAAAGAGTCTGTTCACCCACATTTAAAAACAACAAACAACATATTCTTTCAGGCATGAACATTTGTACCTCTACCCCCCTACAATAAAAATGAATGGAATTTGTTTTGTAGTGTTCAAAGCTTTAAAAAAAAAGTGTGCACAGATTTCCTGTCAACATCTTTCATCACCATAAAGTAGTTCCACTGTAAGCTAGGGTTGAACAATGGGAGTGAAGATCCCAGTATTTCCCAGGAGGTTTGGCCAAAGTCAGCTCCTCAAAAACTGTAGTTAAATGCTAAATTCTAAAATTTTATTTACACTGTGACTATTGGTTTCAGGAAACAGGAAACAGAGGATTCTCTGGTATCAATGTCAGCTGACTCTGCTTTGCTCCCGTCATAATTAATACATCCACTAAAGGTCGCCTAACAAGAAAACATAACTATAGGTCGTGATACGCTGTTTGCACTGACGACCTATGGGCTTTTTTTTTTTTTTTTTATAGTAGGACACTCTGGTATCTGTAAATTCAAGGCTTTTTAAGACCACTTTAATACCATGGACAACACAATTTTAAATCTTTTTGATAATTATACCAGCCAAAGTAAAACTACATGAATTTATTGACGTGTACATCAGATCTTTCACTACTTCCCAGCAGTATATAACAAATAATTCCTAATGATATGATTAATTAATTCATGCGCGATGTGGCAAAAAAGGGATTAGAGTACCTAATTACAAATGATTAATTTATTTAAATGAATTTTCACAGGCATCATTGCTTCATTTCATTTTTTTTCAACGCTTTTAGCACTAAAACTGAAATTCCCTTCACCTCCATTGTATTGGAGAGAGTGATTTGGGTGAACTGAACCTTTAAACATACTTGGAAATAAATTCTTCTTCTTCTGGACATTGGAAGTATCTGTTCTAAGTACTATCACATTAGGGGACATACCATAACTAAAACCATTTAGTAGCATTTTCATCACTAAATCATTTAGTAACAGAGTCTGGATCATAATGAGGCAGGAAAATGACACATGCTCAACTGCAGCATTTTCCCCCAGAGATGTTTATTTAGCTTCTCTGCAAAGACAGACTTGCTAATAGAGGGATCATAAAAATCTGAGCCTTGCTGACACTTCGATAACTTTGCACATTTAAGGCATTTGGCTCATCACTTCATTCAGATTCACCTGCAACGCGGCACAGACTAACGGCTCCATTTATTTCTTTTTAAAAGACACTTTCAACACACCGCTCTGCGAGAGCGACTCACTACATTTAACTCAGTGGATTGTCACTCTTACCGCTCAGCCCGCCTGTCACCGACATGTAAACACGCAGTGGAGTCTAGTCAACATTCTTCACTGTCTGAGCTTCCTGCTTTATTCAAACAGAGAAATCTTTATTTGTTTACACAGGGGTTTAAGCTATCGTAAAATACACACACGCCAATTTAATATCCCCAAAAATGTTGATAAGTGCCACAACGCTCAGGGAAACTTGTTCGGTGGCCAACTCCTGCAAGAAAAAGAGTTGTCAATGTCTCGGCTGAAAAAACGTGAATGGCTGACGACTGTGAGGGAAAGAGAAGTGATTTCAGAAAGGTGAGGGTCTGACTGAAACGTTGAGCTGCTCTGTGGAAGGTAAACAGCACATTGACTGCCAAAAAAAACATTGCCTCAGTCTCTTTCTGCTGCCTCGCCGAGGTCTGAATAATTAAAGCTGTGTCTGTGTCTGTTCTGGCGGAATACAGCCTATAGGATGAATCTGAATGCAAATCGGCTACTGCCTTTTCAACTTCCAACATATTCCCAGCTGAGCCAGAAACATCAGAATGTTGCAACTTTTCCCGACAGTTTTCAGAAGGAAATAATATCACTCTCTACAAATGTGCCAAATTAATAACGCTGCATCCAAGCACAAATAAACAGAGCTGAAGACAGACTTCTCTGCAGAAACAAACAAAAATAATCCACGGAAAAGTCAAAGACAAACACAAAATTTAGGGCTAATAGAATTATAGTAATGACATTAAGACTATGACTAAAAGTAATAATATCCATCTACAGCAGGTAATTATATATAAATGCGTTACATGCATGGTTTCTGCTTCAGTGTTAACTCTCTCTCCCTCTGTTAAACATTGTATTTGAGAGAATAGTTCAGTTGCCCAACCAGTGAAACCACCTGTTATGTAGCTGCTTGAACAAAAGTACAAAGGGATGAGGATATTTCATGTGAGCGTCTGAGCTGCACGTCTTCAATCTTAAAACAGTTTTTGCTGATGTCTTGGTTTTCCTCTGGTCCATAACTGGATGCTGACTCTCCCTTCTTTTTTTTCTCCTCTTGATTCTCTCTAAAATTTCTTTCCTTGCTACATTCTCCAGTACTGACACATCTGCATTTGCTATTTTCTATCATTTGCTAAAATAGGTAAATAATTGGACTTGATTTGCTCTGGCGCTGGTTGTGTCTTGACTTGAAAATAACCAGATCTGGTCTCTCGGACTTGACTAGAGTTTTGGAGAGCATTTGACTGAGTGCAGCAACATTTAAAAGGTCATATCTTTTATAGTTTCCTGTGTTTTATTTGAAGTGTTGATCCATAAGAAGATATATTTGTGGGTTTTAAGAACCAAAAACCATCTCAGTGTAGTTTTACATCTCCTCTCTCAGGCTTCTCTCTGGAGAACTGGTCAGTGAGCCAATCAGAACACAGGAGGCTCTGAGCCTCTTCTGATTGGCTTACTGTTTTCTGAATGATAGAATAAAAATATAGCATATTTGTGGTAAACACACAAAGAAACCAAATCCTGTAAGGTTTGGATGGTGGGTCCAGGTGGGCGGGACTGCTTTGTTGTGACATCACAAAGTTACAGGAAGTCCTGACGGCTGGTTTTAAGGCTCAGTTTCTGAATACAGGCTGTGTGCATTTCTCTGTGGACTGAGGCTTTGATACTTTCACAGTATTAATATAGAACCTAGACCTGATCTATAAAGAACACATGGACATCTACCTTATATAAAATGCGACCTTTATAAAAAGTGCAAATGAATCTCTAACTATACAGCGACAAACTACTACAATTCAACTGCAGATTCCTCTAAAATTCACTGATCACAATCACGCTTCCCTGGAAGGGTGAATCTATGACCTTTCCTCTAATGACACTGTCAAACTAAAGCATCAACTTTAACCAAGAGTTCTCGTAAATGGTATATACTAAACTTTTCATCAATGACCAGAATAAAATCAAGTGTGTAAACAGTGGATTCTTGGAAGGCTGAATTAAAAGAGCTAATTTTAAGTATGAGGCTGGTTTTATTCTATCCTTTCTACACTGTCAACAAATCCCATGAGACCCAAACCAACAACAAGTTTGTCTGTCTCTTCATACTTTCTGACTTCCCTACCCAAGCCAATTGGGTTATTATGTGAAGTTTTTGTTTCATTTCCAAAAAAGGTTTGGTAATTTCTTAAAACAACTGGTCGCTTGTTTTTAGCAAATGTTTCTCAATCAGGAAAAAATCATGTATTTGGATAAACACACAAGTACTTCTTAGTAGGAGACTATTTATTGTTGGTTTAGTTCTTTTATGGGATTTGTTGACAGGAAGAAAAACACAGAATATCGCCAGCCTATCTGCAGCTATCAGCTCTCTAAACCCACATTAGTTGAGGCCTATTCTTGACTACAGCCCTGCATGGATGTCTCTGCCTGTGTCCTTTTCCAAGGCAGTGAAACAGCCCGCTGCTCTGACAGGCTGCCTGCGCCGAGAGAAAGGACTGTCCAACGGCTGCGATAGGGACCAAGTGAAGGGGAAAGAGGCAACGCCAGCTTCTATGAGGGAGGACTCATTCAAGCACGGCAGATTCAGGGGGATTTAGGGGAGCTCGTCTGCCAGCAATAAAAGGCTGAAACAGGATACTTGGTGAGATTAATTACCAAGATAGGCCATGATAATGCCATTTAAATGGGAAAGTAATTAAAGTGCACCTTCCATGAAAATTATTCATTGCTGACGGATTGGGTGACAGACAAATCAGGAGGCATTTACAGAAAAAGCTACAGGTTAAGTGCTCCGAGCTGCTGCTCTGAGACCACCACAGTTTTATTGCAGCTGTTGAATCTCGCTGCTTTGCCCGGCTCTCATCAAATTACCGCAAAGCATGTGGAGCAGGAGGGTGGTGAAAAGAATGGGCTCCCAGGTAACGTAAAACCGGGGACAAATGCTACAAAGGAGGATCCGCTTAACTAGAAAATTACACTGGCTGGCACTGGTCAGTGGGGACTCCTCACAATCAATCAATCCTTCTGTTTAAGGCCACCATGGCAGATTAAAACACAAAGAGGGATAAATCAATGGTCCTATTGTTCCGGAAGTGTTACTTTCACGAATGCACTGAATTATATCAATTTAGCGATGATAAAGTGTCAATAAAGTGGCCGTATAGATTACCACTAATTTGTACCCATGATTAAATAATATCTTAGAAGGTCTCTTATTGTATAAAGGTCTCTGTCCATGTGTAGTGTGATTATAGATCAGGTCTAGGTTCTATATTAATACTGTGAAAGTATCAAAGCCTCAGTCCACAGAGAAATGCACACAGCCTGTATTCAGAAACTGAGCCTTAAAACCAGCCGTCAGGACTTCTGGAACTTTGTGATGTCACAACAAAGCAGTCACCGCTCTCAGCCACACCCCGAGCCCCGCCCACTTGGACCCACAATCCAACCTTGCAGGAGCTGGTTTCTGTGAGTATTTACCTGAAATCTGCTTTATTTTTATCGGATCACTCAGAAAACAGTCAGCCAATCAGAAGAGAGTCTCAGAGCCTCCTCGTTTCTGATTGGCTCACCGACCTGTTGCTACTAGAGCTCCAGAGAGAAGCCTGAGAGAGGAGATGTAAAACTACACTCAGATGGTTTTTGGTTCTTAAAACCACAAATATATCTTCTTATGGATCAACACTTGAAATAAAACAGAAAGAGTGTCAAATAAGGACCTTTAATGATCATTGCTCTCTTGTAGAGCTTAATAATTATCAAACCATGCAACTAACTCTGCTATTTTCCTTTCTGCACTGCCAGACACCAAACTGTTGGAGGACACTGACTGAAGCAGTCAAACTAAAAGGGAATATTTGTTTCTTACGCAATTGCAAGGGGCAGAGCGGATCAAACTGAAATGCTTAGCTTACATTCTTATGTGGTTCAGTATTTTTTTCTTTTCTTCTCTTTTGCACTGAGAGATTGTACTAAAGGGAATAGCCTGTTGTTCTCTTTGAATGTGTAAGTAGGTTTGTACTTGAGGGGAACTATAACATCATCCTGCATTCACAGCAGCTGCACGAGAAACGAAGCAAGGAACGGCTAAAAATACACACAGCGGGAAAAATGAGTTAAGCTGATTTCTAAATTCCTCCCATGTAAGATGTGGGAAACTTGTATGTAAAACAAAGGATGATATAAAATTTAATATTATGACTCTGTCTTCTCAGATGTTTGGAATGATGACCACAGCATTCTTGGCGTTTGACACAATCCCGTCAAAGTCACCACCGCCTAGAGCTCCCTTCACACATTCATCCTGTTATGTAAATGTGACTAAGTTAGTGCTGCTGCTTTCAATCCTTGGCCAGTGAGAAAAGAAGCTTTGGGCAAATAAATGAAACATGATAGATGTTGCGTACGTCACTACGGTTCTATCATTGCTGCACGACCATCAAATGTTATTGCGCTGTTGTTGTTATTGTTATTCAAACGCCTGGGGAACACTAGAGCAACAATGCGACAGAGCTAGGAGAGCGGTGGGAGTGTCAGTGGTTGTGGGGTTATCAAGGGGGGGGGGCGTGGTTCAGTGTGGTGATGGTGCGTGCCGGGAGTTTAATGCATTTTTTGAATTTGTGAAAGGGGCGTGTTCAGGCTTAAACAGCGTGTTAGAGGTCCCATATAATATAAAAGGTAATTGTCCATGTGTTTGATTATAGATCATGTCTAGGTTCTATATTAATACCACTAATATATCTTCTTATGGATCAAAACTTCAAAATAAAACACAGGAAAAGTTTAAAACACCCATCGACGAGTACTATAATGTGGCTCTTTCCATGATGCCTGTAAATGATGAAGATGTACAATATGAAAGACAAAAGGCCAATATATTTAACAGATTATGTTATAATATTATGTTTATTTTTTTAAATGACAGCCATGGCATTCTGAGACATTTCTACTCGCCACAGTCTAAATAATGCATCTGGCAACATCTGGCTACAGCCCCTGTTTTCAGCTCTGACTCACCCATGGAGCCTGTGAATACTTGAGAGCACAGCACAACTATTGTGAAAAGTTGCTATCTGAGTGTAACAGGCTTTGTGCTGTTGGCTAATACAAGCAGTCAACATTAAAATCAATTTCCACAGGCTCTTCCTTTCGCTCATTATACTGTTTATACCTCTTGCTGATCGCACCTAAACCCCATTTCACTGGTCTCGAGTTGAGTGTGTACGTGCAGCATGTACACATGTGTATGTATGTATGTACACACACACACACACACAGACACACACACACACACATACACACATACACACATACACTCAGGTCCTGTAGCCTTTCCCATAACCAATTTCAAATCCTATTTCAGTGCCCTTCTCCACAGTGATTTTTCCTGGCTCAGAGATGTGAACACCCGCTTGAATAAATATTAATGGTTATTCTATGAGCAGTGCCCACTCACAAGTGTGCTGGAAGAACAAAAGGCCTTGTTTACAAGTGCGCTCGAGGAAAGCTAAAGCGCGGAGGGCCCCTCGGAGGGTGGCTCTGTGGCACTGTTGACTCACAATGGAGTGCTGATTGAAACACACTCTTAACTTCCAGTGTATGGCGGCGGCAAAAAGCAGCGAAAAATCCTCAACATGACGAATCTCTATTCAACCACCGCGAGGACGGAGAAATCAAGCTTACGCACTTGCAGCCTCTACTTAAACTCATTTAAGACAGAGCTGAGGTGTAATTAGGTTTCTGGGAACAATAAGCACTCAGCACCTTGCGTAGCTCCAGCCTCTCGCTCCAGACATTTCCTTTAGTGTAATTAGGGGAGGTGTGAATTCCTCATCAGATGGATCACCATCTGCATTCACACAATGCGCGTTCATTCCCTCAGTCCCCAGCTAGGAGCCCATGTTCGCGCTGATTATCATGCAGGAGGTGGAGATGGGCGGGATGGAGGAGAGGGCTTCTCCTTTTTTTTTTTTTAAGGTTCTTTCAGTGCTATGGGGCTCCAGTGCCTCACCACGCAAAGGTTAATCAATTCTGAATGATGAGCCATAAAAGCTTTAATAATGCAGTCATTCTTTAATGAGCGGTCCTGCATGCTTACTCAGGAAGGAGCGTTTGTTTTAGGAAGCGCCCGACCTTCCAATTACAAAGCGCTCAAGCATTCCCTAACAGCCCGGAGAGCGCTGGACACAATGATGGTCCAGTGAGCAGGACAATGAGCCCTGCAGCGTGGAGCTAATGTCTGCTCAAGATGGGAAAGAGGAGGGAATCGCATCACAAGACCATCAACAACAACCCAATGCTGATTATTGACCTGCCACGGAACCGCATAGACAGGAAGTTGAGGTTGATGGATGGACCAACAAAGCATCCAATGTTCCACTGCTCGATTCGTACTGAGAGTCAACACTCGTTATTTTTAACCAGGACATGAAGTGTTCCCTAACTTTAACCCAGTAGTTCTGCAGTTAACCGTGAAGACCAACCCTAACGAAAAGCAAAACAGGTCGTTCTTGACCTTGAGCGGAGATAAATACATAGGTCACGTTATTAAAACTCAACCATGAAGAAAGCTAGTAAGTGGTCCTTGAGTGGAGACCGAACTGAGTAGTTTTTGTGCCAAACCTCCCCAAAATGGCCAGAATATGGTCATATGGGTGGTTTTCAAAGGCCAAGTTTTTTCTGTTGTTGTTTAGTTAGAAAACAGATTAATTTTAGTTCATGTTTCATAATAAAGCAAAACTTTCTGACAGGAATTTGGCAAACTAGTTGGAAAAAATCCTCCAGGGTTAGATTGCCATTGGGGAAATACTGACCTTCTATCAAGAATAACTCACATTAAATAACATAATAAGCCTATGCTGATTATCTTTCTGCATATTTAATTTATTCTTTTCAATGCTAATGTCTGTACTTTCAGCCTTTATCTAAAAGGTATTATTCTGTCCCAGAGCTGTTCTACCATTGAACAGATGGATTGGGGTGCCCTGGCTTGAAGAGCTGCTAACCCTAAAGGAATTTGATTAGTCTCGGTTTCGAAAGGGAATTTTTTTAGTTTTGCGTCATGGTTTAAATAGTGTTTCAGAGGCTGTTTCACCCCGATACCTTAAAACATTTCAGGAAAATTAAGGCATCTTTGTAATTGTTTAAATGAAAATGAATACATTTAGAGATACTGATGATTGATACCAAAACTTAATGGAATCGATCAACTAAATTATCAGTGACCTGTCCCACCCGGCCAATTACACTCATTACAGTGTTATAGCAATTAAAACGGTGCCACTTACACGAAATTATAAACATGACACCATCTTGGCCAAGCACGCCGCTCTCTTTCACAAAAGCTAATGGCTAAATATTCCGCCGGGTTAACTGAGTAATTGTCTGTTGTCGACATGCCAGGTATAATTATGAGTGACTCTACATGAGCGAGTGTTCATTTTATCTTCTTTTTTTTCTTCTTTTTTTTTTTTTCCTGGCTTGTTTCCTGCGGGTCATCCTCCCGCTGACGTCCTCGTGTCCTTGGCCGAGCAACCCCTCGGCACAGTCCAGCTTGTGTCACTGTCATGAACCGAGCTTTGCGAAATACATCATCCCTAACACTGTAACCCACACACGTTCTCAACAGAGAGCCGCTTTCTTTCTATCTTTCCCTCCCACAGATACACACATCTAGTACACTGACACATTTATGTCAGTGTACTAGATCTAGATCTAACACATCCAGTACACTGACATATTTATTTCTGTGTACTAGCTGTGGTAACAATCCTATAACCTATTCTCATGTATGTTTTCAAAGAGAAATTAGGATCATGATGATGTAAAAGCAGCAGGACATAATTGGCCATCATCACGTGGCAAAGGACAGGCGTAGATAGCCGGAAACAGAGGTTATATATCCAGCTAAAGCTTCAGTGCTCTCCCTCCATCTTTCTTTTAATCCCCGTCGTCAGAACATAGTCTTTTGGGCCAACTTTGTTACATGGATGCTCGAGCATGAAAAAGGAATCTTGTTGGGTGGATCCATAGAAATAATTAATCAAAAAAAAAGGCTTTAGAGTTTGTCACCGTAAAATACAGCATTTTAATTATAGTGGATCCCCTTGAGACTGAGCTGCAAATACAGTAGTAGCTCTTTAGGTACCGCTGGGAGTCTGCATCATTGCTGAGCTAATAATGTTTGCCACTGTAGTGCTGATATACACATTAAATTAATCTGGGTAATATGCATATTGGAAATATTATGGATCATATCAGACTATGATCATTAATGCTAATGGGGAATCATTACCATAGTTTGCATATGAGAGGTTTTTAAAATTAAACTGTCAATCACCATGTTGCTAATGTCTAATGCTCTCTCAGCTGGAGCAAAAGTTGAGTCCCATACTATCATATAGGATAACCTATAACCTGTAAGCTGTGCATGGACTGGTGTGAGCCAAATACTAACTTCATCTTTAAGAAAAGTCACTTTTCTCTATCTTCAATCAACCTATTGTCTCGTGTGTTAAGTCCAAAACTGCAGCCAGGTGAGCCTAACTTAGTAGCTGAAGAAACCTCTAAAAAGTTACTTTGGATAAAAGCATCTGCCAAATGAGTAAATGTAAATGTAATTAACAAAGTTGAACCTGTTTTACCTTAAAATGTAACCAGAGTAAAGCATTGAATTTCTTGTGAAACAGTTTAGCATCTTTGGTTATACTACTGGTTGCTAGGCACAAATTGTCATTTTTCCATCTGTTTGGTTTGTGTTTGGAACACACAAAAAAATAATGTAAGCCTAAAAAGTAAGCTTTAGATGAGTTGGTAAGTGTATTTTTGAACACTGAGAAGAGCAAGGCTAGCTGTTTCTTCCTATTTCCAGTTAATGCTAGGCTAATCGATTCTTGGCTCCAGCTCCGGACTTAACGCACTGACATCAGATTGGTATCGCTCTTCTCATCTAACTCGCGGAAAGATTGTAAATAACTGTATTTTCAAAAAGATGTTGAACTATGTCTGAAAGAACTGAAACCGAAAGAAACCGGAAGAAACAAAAACACAAATAGATACAAACCACGTGCCAAGTCAACGCTCTACAACAAAATGGTGTAGGGATCTGAGTTCGCAGGGGATGGGAAAACCAAAAAAAGTATAGCACACAAACTTGAAACAAACTTTGCGAATATCCAGAAAAGTTCAGAAGATCACACAGTAGTTCAATCAAAAAGTGCATCCCACAGAACATTGGGAGAAAATTCCATTATCAACATTATAAAAAAAAACCAAAACACTGATGTAATAGTCCTTACCTGCTTGACCAGTAGCGATGCTAACTGCCGCAAACAGCCTCTGCGTGCGGCTCAGGTCCGACACCCCATTGACAGCCTCCACCTCAAAAGTGTAGTTGGCATGGGCAAGCAGGTCCATGACGCTCACATAAGTGTCCACTAATCCTGACTGTGAGGGAGAGTATCCCACATTCGGCCCGCACGGTACGCACTCCTCGGGTTCCCAGCTGCAGCGGCGGCATACGACCCTGTAGCTGACGTCGTTGCGCCCGCCCGTGTCGGCCGGTGGGCTCCACTCCAGGCTAACGGTGGTCTGGTTGATGTTGTAGACTAGGTTCTGTGGCGCCGAGGGAGGTCCTGTCAGAGGTGGACACGGAGGAAACAGAATTAAATAACTGAGTGCCAAAGAAAGTGACAGCCAAGACTGTGCATTGACTGGATCTGTGCTTTCTCTGTTCTCCGAGAAAGAAAAAAAAAAAAACACTACGGGACATGCCAGGTCTAGCCCTAGAGCCAAACACTGACACTCAATTATAATAAGACTCAGATCCAGGGAAAAAAATGGTACAGGTACACAGAAAGGAAGTCAGCTTTGGCAGGCACCAAGGTCAGTGTAACGAGGCTGTGAAATCAAGCAGTGGAGCCCAGAGTTTCAAAGGAAGAATAATTTCAAAGTCAGAGTACGACAGCACCACAGTGCACCACATGTTTTTATGTCATTGTTATATATACACACATATATACTGTATATTTGTCTGTTTAATTGTGTATATGGGAATTATGATTCATACCTTACGTATCATTATGTTAAAACGAGCCATTAGGACTTCCTTAATTTTGTGATGTCACAACTGTACACACAACTAACTTTTTTTGCTGCTGTAACTTTAGTAACAACACAACACCTAGCGGCCACTCTGTCCTTTAGCTAGCAAGCTACAAGATGGACGCCAATATATCACTGCACAGCCTTCCTAAGGAGACTAACGTTTATTTTTTTTCTGAAATACCGGAGCATTTCACTCTGAATTTGACCATCTGTTTGGCTCATTTCAGCTCTGACTGACAATCACCAGTTGCATTTACTGGTGAGTTTTTCCAAGCAACGGTAGTAGGCATCCAATCCGTTACCTGTGGTTGGCCTGGCCATGCGTCACTCAGATAACAAACATGTAAAAGCATAGGAACTTTAACATATAAACGGTGATTAGTGTAGCCTTAAGGCAGCCCCATTTTTCATATTTTAATTTTGAAACAACGTAATGCTTTTTAACAGTGTAGTCGTGCATGCAAATATAGCCGCTGATTCATCCAGATGGTCTGAAGGCTTTGTTTACATAGCGACTGTTAACAGCATAAAATCTGCAGCTGCTATGGAAATGACTGAGACATGATTACATGGTGGGACAAATGCTTAGCAGGGAGTCAAAAGCCACAAACGGGCCTATCTCTAAGTCTTCCTGTTCTCCAAAAATATACAACCATCCCCCAGCTGGAGGCAGCGTCTTTACTGGTTTTCCTTGGAAAAGGTATATCATGTGGACAGCAGGACACTAAAAGTTAATGCCTACCAAAAAAAAAAAAAAAAGACTCAAAGCCTGGCTGACCCGCAGAATTTATGCACGAGATTTAAATCTGGATTATCACCTTCCTGTAACTGCCATATACAGTTTCACTTGACATATAATAACAACTACGCTCTATGGCATCAAACGTGAACACGACCACAGACCGTTCGCCTGTAAACGTTCACGTAATGGCGAGGAGATTAGCTCATCTCATAAAACAATGAATAACAAATGGCTGCTTTCATCTTTCAAATTCCAGCCTGTTGGCTTTTATGACCCATATGCTGATATAAATAAACCCCCTTCCCCCCAAACACAGTAAAGATTATATGACTTGTATTCTTTGTTTATGAACGTTGTGGAGAACGTCTTCATTTCTGGGAGATTTAAACTGCTCTCAGGAAATATTCTTTGAGGGAATCTCGGGGAGGGACCTCTCATTAAATTTGTCACATTAACTAACAAAATAGGTCATGCATATGCATAGAGCCAAAACTTCTATCACAATATTCATTAATACGGCACTTAGTTGTTTTTCCGTGTTCCCCCCATTAGAACCGAGGGCTCGGCGGAGACATCCATATTCATGATTATCGGGCGAGATAAGAGACAGACTGTGGACTGGGAAGATGAAAGAGCCACCTGTGGCAGGTGAAGTGGAGAGGAGTGACTGCTGATAGCGCCACTCGACTTCAGCCTTGGCACTGACACTCGACCCGTTGCTCTCAATCTTCCTCGCGGACAAAGGCAAGGTGCGCCTCGACACATACGCACACAGGAACACACCTTCCATTACTAAGTCCAAACCTCACAGATCTTTTATTTTTCCATTTCTATGGCCACGCTTATAACGCTGATAACACCTCATTTCGCTTGTGCCACTCTCATTTGAGTCTCAGGTGCCACAGATCAAAGTGGTGATTTCACAGCAACAAGAGACGAAAGGAAATGAGATTAGACTGTTCGTGGACCTGAGTGACCTTTGTCTTTTGTCTTGGGTTTTTTTTTTCCAGATGGACACAACCCTGCGAGTTTTGTGTTTCTTCCTTCAGAGACATCAGTATATGTTTCGACGTCGGTTTGTCTTAGGGACTGAAAACATTGCATCTCGACGACTTGTCTGAAAGCGAAGACTACAAAGAAGTTCTTGGAGAGAGATGAAGGCAGTGGGAGAAAGCTACGGAGGCAAACCTTTTAGCCAGCCACAAGTGTGGCCACTTGTAAATGGCATACACACTTTTCCCTTCAGATATGGTAAGATGACACACATCATGCTACCCAGTTTGTTTGAAGCACACTGAACCCCTCAGCTCCCTTTTCTTCTTCTTCTACCTTGGCGTCTCTTTGTTTCTCCGAATAGTCTCCGTCTGAACTCAGGAATACGAAACTCCTCTGCCCCCAATTCACCTGCAGCGCAGATTTGCACCGCATCCTGAGCCCTCCACTGTCTGTCTGTCTGCTCATCCTCATAGCTCAAGGGCTTGTCGTTCTCCCTCTTCCTTTTTACTCTTTTTTTCCCCTCTCACTCCCCCTCTCTGTCTTATCTTTCGTGTTCGCTCCTCTCACCCCTCCTCCCAGTCAAGTTTCATTTCACGGATTAGCCCGCCAGCCCCCACAGCCTGAAATGTCTCAATCACTTGCTAGCTTCCCTCCAACGCTGCCACTGTGACCAAGCATGAGCAAGCGTGAGTGTATGTGTGTGTGTGAGGGTATTTTTGTTGTGCATAAATATGGAATATGTGCATGCACAGTTCAAGTTGCCTGCTGAATCATTTGCATGCTAACATTGCACAGATTTAAAGCAGAATCTGTAATTTCGTGGAGTTAAAAAAAAAAAAAAAGAGCCTTCAACCACACCGATGTAACCGCTACATCTAATAATCTACCATATAGAAAACATGGTATAGCAGCAGATCGTTTTTAGGTCATTTCTCAAAGCCTATCTCCACTCTTTGTTGAGTTGCGAGACCTGACTAAATCCAAGCTTAGGAGAGAAGAATCCGGCGCTTATCGGCCTGGAGATGTGCTAAGGGCTGCCTTAACCCTCCGCAGCCTATTAGCAGGCTGTGCTCTAATTGGGGAACTGTGGGGAGAGGGGCGGCAGGGGTGAGTGGTATTCAAATCGCCCATGAGGTAATCCTCGCTCTACAAATGTGTGTTGTGACCCCGTGACCTAGCCTCTAATGATGTGGCTGCAGCAGAACCTGTATGAGGGGAAGCCATGCTGAAGAGGAGAAGGAGAGCTTGGAGAAGATGAGTTTTTTTTTTTCATTTTAGCTGAAGGGTTTCTGACTGCTGTTGTCATTATGACTAAAATTTCAATACTACTTCAACAACGCGCTGAAATCAATATTGGATTTGCCACTCGCACAAGATGTGTGCTGCAATCGGAAATTCAATTTCTCTAGGGAGTGTATGATGGTAAAAAAATAAATAAATAAAATAAAGTGAGCCATCACTAAGAAAGACTTTGTTAGAACAATACAAACATTTTTGTGTGCTTCAGCTGCATTAGCTTCGAGCATTGCTGATGAAAGCATTGTGCTACATGGAGCTCGGCCTCTTTTGTCATGTCAGTGAAACAATCCGTCTTAGAACGATGATCAAAGCCTTGTGAGTGTGATGTCTTAATATAAACTCTTGGTTATCCTTGTATGCGGCTCCTGTTTGCATGGCCTCATTTAATTACAATATGGGCAAGAGAAGTGCATGAGCATGACTGGGGCCAAGAGGCTTGATGTTTTGATCAGCAACATTTCCAATTATTGCATCCAAACTAAAGACTGACAAATGTCTTTATAGTGTATTTTCTTAAAGGTCCCGTATTTTATTTGGAGTTTTGATCCATAAGAAGATAAATTTGTGGTTTTAAGAACCAAAAACCATGTCAGTGTAGTTTTACATCTCCTCTCTCAGGCTTCTCTCTGGAGCTCTAGTAACAACAGGTCGGTGAGCCAATCAGAAGAGAGGAGGCCCTGAGACTCTCCTCTGATTGGCTGACTGTTTTCTGAATGATCCAATAAAAATAAAGCAGATTTCAGGTAAACACTGGGGTCCAGGTGGGCGGGGTTGGGGCATGTCTGAGAACGGTGACTGCTTTGTTGTGACATCACAAAGTTCCAGAAGTCCTGACGGCTGGTTTTAAGGCTCAGTTTCTGAATACAGGCTGTGTGCATTTCTCTGTGGACTGAGGCTTTGATACTTTCACAGTATTAATATAGAAGCTAGACCTGATCTATAATCACACTACACATGGACAGAGACCTTTATACAATAACAGACTTAAATTTTTAAAAAGGTGCCCATGGCTAATTTTTGTACCAGGGCGTCCCTGTTGGTAGATCCAGCCCTGACCAAAGTAACTGGTGAAATCTGGGGTCACGCTGACTTTACTTCAACAAGGTCTTTTGGGGCATAAACCTGGGAAGTCACGCCATCAGAAAAATTGTAAAAAAAAAACAAAAACAAAAAACAACCAAAAAACAGATTATTGAAAAAGATTGAAACTGAATGCACCCAAAATTGTTGATAAAAATACAATTTTTAATACAAAAACTGTGGAGAGTATAGTTTATAGACTATAAGACACAGGTGGATTACACCTGCATTTAATAATTATAATAATAATCTTAACATGAGTTCTGATTAGGGTTGGGTGATGTCCACCGTGCAACAATATCTACCATGAAACTTGAGATGGACAATGGTGAATTGAAGGGGGGGGGGTCTGAACATCGTGCCTACTCTCAGCCATCTGCGTTCCCTACTTCTGATATCTGGTGGCAACATTCTGCAGCCCTCCTCCACTCCCCCAGCCACTCCAGGCAGGATGGACCCTGTGACGGATATCAACTTGTTGAGGTGGCACATTTTTAGGGCGGTGGGGGTTTTGGGGAGGAGGAGACGACCACTCGCAACTGCTGCTCTCAGCCCCTCGCCTGCACCAGCACCGCTCACAGCTGTTGCATGATTGATGGCCACTCCCCAACCTGTCAACAACTCCACTCTGTGCCCCGGCTCTGGTAAAAATGCCTCCTCATAGCCGTTCCCCCTGTATGTATCTCATTTTCTCACAACTTTGCATATGAATGGCATGGACAAACATTCGTCAGACAAAAGCATTTCTTCTGTCCGCCCCCTCTCAACACATAGCACTTGGGAAACAACGTATTTGTAACTGTGTTTTTGGAACTTCTTCCCTCATCTTTATTCAGCACGGATTTTGGCTTTTCATGTCCCCACATTACATCTTCATCTCATTTCCTCTCAAATCCTCATAGACACATTCTTAATCTCTGTGTGCCAGAGATCCATCTCACTGTTTTGCTAAGGCCTACAATATGGTAGCTTTACAAACCCCTATTTAAAAAAAAACCTGTCAATCAAGCTATTTGTTCAGGCAGTGCAAATTCATTTTCAATTACTATTCTTTCCTGGTCTGGGTAAGGCTTGAAAAAAGGAAATCACAGTGACTATTGGTCACACCGACTTAATCCGGCGATGAATGAGGAAATGCACGTACAGAAATTGCACTGGGTGAATGAGGAGGACGGAGGAAGCTATTCATACAAGTTAAAAATACATATTTACATATAATGGTATGGGGTCGTCAAGTGTAGACCCGGAGTTAATGAAAATGAATAATGGAAAGTGTGCATTAGCCAGCTTCAGTAATTACTGCGCTACTTGGCCAAGGTGATTACCCAGAAGGGAACAGCCAGAGGACACTGCAAAGAAGAGGGAACTTTTCTCCTCGTCTAACCACTGCATGTGTGTCCTTTCCTTGATCAGTGGTAGACGTTCGAGAGCAGCATTAACATCCGATTAGGATGGTTGGAGAAGTGAGTAATGGAGCTGTCTTTTAGAATAAGATCTGTATGGTTGCTTATGTGCTACGCAGAGAGATTGGTGGTTTGTGGTCAGCGTCGGGCCTCAGTTTTGCTTAGCCTGAGTTATGTCCTTGTTTGTGTCAGACGGGTGACGGGAATGGAGTCAAACAGACGAGATCTCGGTTCGGTAAGGAATTTTAATGTGAACAAATTGAGCTCACTGATTTCCTTCCTGAGACACTAGTCATTTTTGAATTTCATAATGCTGCCATCTGTGATTCTTGAGTGCCTGCTCCCCTAAAGCAAGACTACGTAACTTGTATGGGATAATCTCCTTTACTTTCCTAGTGTCGATTGCTTCATTCTTTGGAAGCCTGACTAAAGGTCAGTTCAACCCCCATGCCCTTGGATGGATACGACACTGCGGACACGCTTCTACTCATACTGCAATCAGGGGTATGCGTAAAACAGACACATTCTACACAGCCACACTTGATAGGAATACTTGAGACCAACGATATGAACAGTAGATATATATGGAGCATGAAGCGTCCAGTTTACTTGTCTGGCGCATGCACAGTGGGTGTGCTAACACTGTGGACGGTCCACGCAGACTCAGACTAAGGAAGCCTTAATTTACTAGGTTTACTTCCATTTAAATGTTAATGCTAAATGTAGCGTAAAAGTAACACAAGTGGAGGAGAGTCATAAAGTCAGCTGACTTAGTAATGTCAGTCACACCACAGGTAAACACAACAATAGCCACCATATGCTCCTGCTCAGAACACGTGGGGAACGACTATAGCAGCAAAACCAACTTTTAATTTGAACCTCGAAAATTAGTCTTTTACCCGGTTTCAGTTTAAATGATAAGTGCTCGTGATATCTTCAAGTTGTTCGCAGGAAACCAGAGAAAAGGCTTAATACTTCCTGTTTTCTACTAGCAGGAAATGACCATGGCTGAATTAACACAATAGGGATGGGGGGGTGGGGGGGGGGCTGAAGGTGAAAATAAGCTTTGGGCCCCTATTGATCTCCCTCCCCACCCCACCCTGTTCCCTGCTCTGTAAATGTACCTGTCAATACCTGCTATTCAATCAATTAACACGAACCAGTTGTCACCCAAGAAACCAGGAGCTTTCTGGGGCAGCTTAAGTACACCAGCCTTTTAAATGGACGACCCCAGCAGTGGGTTGTGTTGATGATTCATGACTTCATATATTTGTTATTGGCGCTGTAGCCACAGTGTTCCCACCACAGTCCACTATTCTTTTTTTTTTATTCTTTTTTTTTAAGTGTAGCTCCTTAAACTGAGGCAGTTGTGTCCATCAACTTGCAGAATAAAATGTGATTATAGTCTTTATACCAGCACTTCAGGTTGACTTGTTTTGTCAGTTTCCCACAGTGGACACACTCTAGGCTCAAACCATAATTAGAATAAGTATGTAGTATGTGGCCGCTGTGACCATGTTAGCGCTGGAACAAAAACAAAATGGCTGAATCTGTGGACAGTTCAGGTAATGTACACAGACTAAGACTAATACGAAGAACATTGCTTCCGAATTTATCAAGCACACAGGCAGCTAAAAATGCAAAACAGGAGGCTGGTGTTTTGAAGATAGATAATGGTGTTGGGAAATCATAGCGCATTAATAATAGGAGATAGATAACTTTCTTACACAAGATATAATCTTAACACTTTTTTCTTGCATCCTTTTATCTCGCCCTGTGTTTTAATTAAATTCTTTTCTGCTGTTAATATATAATCCCTTATATCACAAACCTACAGCCATCAGAAATATAATTATTCTTCCTCGAGAGTGGAATTTAAAAAAAAAAAAAAAAAAATCTATATAAAAAGGTGCAAACATTTAAGGCTTCTGCCAAATAATTCATGCACACATCTGGCGGCATGAACACACCTGTGCACTGAGGACATGGTGAAGTAAATGGAAATGGCTTCAGGGCAAGAAATAGACAAGAGATGTTGCTCAACACACTCGCTTTACAGACACTCAATACTTCACAACAGCAAATCCAAAGTCCAGTCTGTGTAATCCTGTCTTTCGTTCTCTAGATTTAATGCATAGACAACCCAATGCAGCCATACAAAATTATGCTACTTGCATAACATTTCACCCTCTCTCTGTCTCACACACACACACACATTAGAGATTGTGACTTGGCCTACTTTGGGTCTTCAGGGAAAAAAGCGGCACCACTCAGGATGTGAACCAGGCATGCTTATTTTCCAGCATATACATTATCTGTTTTTGTTGTTTGTTTTTTTTGTTTTTTTTCAAATCAATGGAAAAATGGTACAAAATAAATGACCACAATCTGTGAATATGAATTTATCTGCTCCTCTTAACAGAGACATCAAAAATAGAAAGAGCGACATAAGTGTATATCTCGCCAGCGGGGCCGATCCAGGAGTCTTGTAATACATTATCAGCAGAATGAAGTCACACAGATAAGGTGCAGAGATTGTGTTTAGGGGGGGGCTGTTGACCTCCAGATAAAGCAGGGTGCTATAACGTTGGGTGCCTCTAACTAAAAAAAAAAAAAAAAAACATCCAGAAGCATCTTGAAATAAAATATATGTTTTATAATGGATTTGGAAGCAAATGGGCCGCACCCGTCAGACTGAACACCCCCAGGGCCTGTGTAAATAAGCCATCGATGGCTGTCACATAACTGTTACACTAGCCAGGGCAAATGAAGACGCAGGGTGCTGCCTGGGCTGCTGCCGCTGACTGTAATTGCAATCTTTCAGACGGGAAATGGCAAATTGCTCCTCTCATCATTAGCAACCGGCTAAGACAGAAAACAGACATGCAAGCCTGCAAACATAATTATAATGACATACTGGGAGGCAGACGAACTGCTGTGGAACACATCTGGGGCTTTCATGAGACCACGGCAGACTGACTGAACAGGTCGGGCCAGGGGAACCAGAATGTGTGTATGTGTGTTCCCCCCCCCCCTTCTCACATGTGCGACTGTTTAAATACAGATCCTGGCAAGTGGTCTGCGCTGTGTTTACCTAGCAACGGCATGGCAGACTTACTTGTGCAGGCCACAGATGGAGGGTCAGAGAGCGCTCGGTAGTAACCATCCTCGCAGTCGCAGCGCCAGGAGCCCTCACGGTCGTTGAAGCTGTGCGCTGGGCAGCGAGAGCACTGAAGGTCCTGGGAGGAAGACTTGTAGAAACCACGACCGCATGCTGTGGAAGAAAGATTTAAAAAACAAAAAAAAAAAGAGTAAGGTCACAGGAAAGAGACGACGGCAAAGACAAAAACATGAAGTTATAAACCCTGTTTGCACAAACAGTACAATATGGGACCTGATACAGTTTATCAGTCACCCCCAAATTAAATTTCAGTTCACTTTGTTTTGATTTTTTTTTTTTTATGTTTTTTGGGAATTTTTTAAAATAATATAAATGATATTATTGTATTTTACGTTTCAGGTGTAAGCGATGCTGCCACAAAGATTTATTTGACACACGTATTGTGAAAGCAAAGCAGTGAAATGAGGGTCAGACTTGAGGGACTGCAAAATTGCAAAAAATAAATACGTTTTCAATATTATAAAAAATATTGACTATTGCGATATATATATTTTCTAATATATAATTATACTACTGTATTTTATGTTCCAGCTATAAGTGATGCTGCCAATAAACAATTCAAAGTTTTATTTTTCACATGGTAAAGTACAACGTAAGCAAACAGTGAAATCAGGGTCTGACTCAACAGATTGTGTAAAATTTAAATGTGATGAAAATTACTAAGAAATATTGATAATATCAGATAATACTGAATATCATAATATTCAATAATATCCAATATCGTGATATATGATAAATTGCATGGAATCCCCATATTATACTGTTATACAGAATATAGATGTTGAATATTGTGATATTCATCATATACAATATTTAATATTATTGAATATCAAGCCGACTGCAAATCTGTGGCCAGACAGTGTTCCATCAGTTCTAGTCAAGGAGTCAGGAGTCAGTGGGGCCTCCAGCTCATTTGTACCCATGGGTTATCTAATGTGTTAATACAGCTGTGCTGATATTAAAAAAAAAAAACCCAAAAAACCCCAAAAGATAACCACCATTAAATTCAACAGGTACCTGGGAAATCTCACAGCAATTTTTATTTAGTAAACCCCAGCTGAGCCGGGTTCACACAGGATTATATCCACTGATGATCTCAGCAGTTACAACAAATCACTGAATGTCTCGGGGTGATATTAGTCCTGCGCAAACACAGCCTGAAAGAGTCTTCACTTCACACCTGAATTCCCATTATAAGGAGGGCATGACAGAACAAACCATTGTGTTCTCATCTCGAAGCAGCCAGTGATTTGAATGAACCTGCCCCCCTCGGGCTTCATCAAGCAGGCTGAGCCATGAAACAGTGTCATGTCGAAGCATACGCCCAGGGATAAACTACAAGCTCTTATTTTTGAGGGGAAAATAACGCTATTTTTAATTCTGACGAATCCTCCAGTCAGTAAAGGGGGCCGGCTTTGTTTATAACATGTCTTATCTCTGAGAGGAAACATTCTTCTGTAGAGCACAGAGATAAGACCACATATCCACCACAAGCATGTGGATCATTTCTACATTTTACCTTTGACCAAGAATGTATACAGACCCAACGACTGATATGACTAATCAAGAAAGACTCATGACTGTCTGAGAGAAAGGAAGTAATGACAAAGACATTCTGATTCACAGTAACCTCAATCTGAATCTCACTGTATTTGACAAGTTAATGTTTGAAGGTTTTGATACTCATAAGACGATATGTTTGTGTACCAAATGCCAAAAACCATCTCAATGTAGTTTTACATCTCCTCTCCTCTCCTTCTCTGGTGCTCTAGCAACAACAGGTCAGTCAGCCAATCGGAAGAGAGGCTCCTCTCTTCTGATTGGCTGACTGTTTTCTGAATGATCCAATAAAATTATAGTAGATTTCAGTTAAACACTCAGAGAAACCAAATCCTGCAAGGTTTGGATGGTGGGTCCAGGTGGGCGGGGCTTGGTGACTGCTTTGTTGTGACATCACAAAGTTCCAGAAGTCGTGACGGCCGGTTTTAAGGCTCAGTTTCTGAATACAGGCTGTGTGCATTTCTCTGTGGACTGAGGCTTTGATACTTTCACAGTATTAATGTAGAACCTAGACCTGATCTATGATCATAAAAGACATGAAAATCTACCTTTATACAATATGGGACCTTTAAATACTTGGGAGTAAAATGTCTATTCTGGGTCTGGCTATTTTAGCCTTGAAGTCAGCTAATCCACAGTGACCGGCTGTGTGTGTGCAAAGCAGAGCTACGTAAGCCTGGTGCAAAACTGCAATCTAGGCCACATGATTTTCTAAAACACTAAGTAGCTCTTCATACAAACCATCAAATTATACAAAAAATGCATTTTTCATGAGCCACTGGAGGGAAATGAGCAATGATTTTCGTTTTCATTTCTCGCCATTACAGCTCTCAGTTCTGTTCTGCTGTTTTTTATTTTACGTAATTTGACCACCACCTCTTGTGACAGGTCAGGGATAAGAAGCGTAGAGGAATCCGAGTTTTCTCATTTTAACACTTCCAGAGCAGCATGAAGAGGAAGCCGAGGATCAGGGTATCCCCATTTCAGCTACAACAAAGCCCTGCCAGTCTCCATTTATCGCTCTGCCACAGCTTCATGAAACAAGAACTTTTTTTCCCCCCAAGAGGAAAAGACACATGATTTTATCTCTAATCTTTCTTTACCTATTTTTTGAAGTAGTAATTGAAAACAGAGCCACAAGGAAGCTGCGAGCAGTGGACTTGAATGCTGACCAGGCAAAACATTTACAAGCCTACACGTGCTTACTCATCGTATTTAGCTGTTTTTTTTTACTGTACGTGCAGTTCTGATGAGTGATAATGTTCGACAAACAGTAAAGTAAACCGTATCTGTCCGCGGTATCTGATAAGTGTGTAAACACTCCCCCATGGATGTTGATAATGACACTGAAGGGCTCTCTCCAGCAGGTTAAAGATTGGCTGAGACGCTGCTTTCTCCCACCATGTCATGCTGTTTAAACATTCTGATAAGCCATCGAGTCTGTTTGCCTTTGGGCTTCTGAGAGCGCATCTGCTGGGTGGCCGATGTGTGGAGGGGGAAAGACCTGGCAGGGACCTGGGCTATCTTCACCGCAGCCACCACTCCAGCAAACGAGAGGGTCCACAGTGCAGATTAAGATGAGTGCAGAGGCTGGGAGGGGAGCGCTTTCAAAAATAAACACTTTAAGGAATATGTCCAGTTTATTACCACTTCACACATATTGGTTGAGGATACTTTTTCTACTTTAATACTGATTTCAATACACAATCTCAGGATACGCATATCCATATTTTTTCCTAAATATAAAAGCTCTAAACCTCTCTGTATAAAACTCATTCAGATAATGTATGTGCAAGTTAAATATATATTCAAGAGAAAATGTTTTGTTCAAGCTTCAAGCTGCATCGCTTCTCCATACCACTTGTGTGTGGCTCCAACTTTTTCCTTACAAACAGAAACTAAACTGCAAAACCCGTTCTAGCATTTCTTTTTTTGCCCAAATTGCGACAATTTCATCTTAAAAAAGATGTAATATCACTTCTCATTATCTGAACCATTTCTGAACCACTCCTGGAAATGTGTTTCGGTGATCGCCCAACAAAATGTGAACATAATGTCTATATCTTGTAATTTAATTTAAAGGGGCTATTTCTATCCCAGAGGGCCACTTTTTCTCTACCACGTCCAGTGGCGGAGAGAACGTGGCCCTCTGGACCACGGCCAGCTGGTTAGTGTTTTACACCATATTTAGCAACAAGCTAAGCTAGCTTAATTTTGAGTTACTGGGCAGAGTTTTGCTAAATCTAAACACTTGGTTTCAAAGTAAAGGCCTTTTACTAACTTTATTTCAAAATACATTTCTTGAGAAGTACATGGAGGAAGTGGCATGCTATCTATAGTAATTTATACATCAATGTTGGCTTACAACAGCAACTGGACAGGAAAGAACAGAGATAATGTTAATGGTCTGTGTTGGCACCGATGCTAATGTAACTGCTAGCTTATTTATAACCTATATGACTGCCTGCGTTTCTTGCCCCACTGGACTTTTTTGGTAATTACTTGCACTTGTCCTTCAATCCATGCTCAGAAGCAAAGCCCAGTTCATTTTCCATCATTTCTTTAGTGGCGGCTCATGTGTTTATCAGCACGTCCGACCAGCTTTGGCACCCAGAAATGTTTACAGAGGCAACAAGGCGTCAAATGAGGCCTCAAAAATCGAACGCCTGTATGACACGGGCACGTAAGTGTTTCTGCAGCTCTCCAAACCACTGGCAGTGCATTGAGTGACAAGTACAAACACAGCCTTCACGGCCTAGCATTCCTGTCCCAGCGACTGCACACTGACTCGCTGCCGGCGAGTTCCATGTTCCCTGGCACCAGATGCCGAAGAGACACTCTTTAGTCTGAGACACCGAGATGTGGCCGATAGTGAGTGAGAGGCTCTTTGTCAGCTGTCCCCGCAGCAACACTTTCCTTCTGGATGGAAATATCTACAAAAGCAATTACACACAAGTCTGTTTATCCAGTTGCCTCTTAACTGACAAAATGACTGACACCTTACTGGCAAACAGTGACGCACAAACATGTTAAGACATTGTGCGAAAACCCTCAGGCTCTTTACAACCTGCGCTGACTTTGACAAGGAGGCTTGCGTACAGTCCAATGTGTTATCGCATTAGAAAGGATGGAGTGTGTAAGTGTGAAAAAAGGGACCCATTTATATCTAAGCCTGGTCTTCTTCAGGCACAGATAAAGAGCGACTAATGGCTTGCGCTTGTTGATACAGGCCGTTAAAAAAAAAAAAGCTCAGCAGCAGACACAACAGCCGGCTTATTTACGATGGTTGAGAAATTAGTCGGCCCTTGGAGAAGTGGGCTGAGGTTAAGCAGAAACAAAACAACAAAAACTTTAAAAAAAAAAAAAAAATACATGTCTTACATTCCAGCCAGCTCCTCGGCAAGCTACAGAACCAGCATCTGTAATTTCCCTTCCAGTGGTCAAGCACTTTCATTCAGTGATGCGTGGGGGGGGATAAGCTGGAGTCAGCAATTTTATACAGAGAGAGGAAGAGGAGCATGAGAAAGGAGAGA